CACGTAATCTGTGGGCCTTGTTTAATTTTTCCTCCCAGTTAGATTGCTGAAAACTTCCCCCAGTCCCGCCAGTGCGAGGGTTTCCTGGTGATTGGAAACTTCCTCTATTAAGACTCCCTTCCCGGGACGGGTCTCCGTCCGTAGCTCTTTTGACTCCCTTTTTATCTTTTATATTTTGTCCTACCTCCCTTCGAAGACAATGGGCTGCTTTTCTGGGCGCCTGATGTCCTCTGCTAGCGATCAGAAGTTGTTTTGTGCAATTTGCTCAGCATTCAAATGTTCTTTCGATGAATTTGTAGGAGAGAAAGTGGTCTCCCCGTCCTATTCCTCCGCCATCTTGGCTCCTTCCATCAGAATTTATTGTTTAAAGAATTTTTGATGGTGGTCATTGTGACTGGTGTGAGGATATATCATTTCATTGTAGTTTTGATTTGCATTTCTCTAATAATGAGTGATGTTGAGCCTCTTTTCATGTGTCTTATCTGTATGTCTTCTTTGAAGAAAGGTCTGTTTAGGTCTTCTGGCTGCTTTTTGATTGGGTTGTTTTTCTGGTTTTGAGATACATGAGCTATTTATATATTTTGGAGGTAAATCGTTTGTTAATTCTGTTTCAGTTTCACGTGTGTGTTTATGTTTCTTGTTTTTGTTGTTATTTGTCAGATCTTGTATTTACCATTTGTCTTGGGTTCATCTTTTGTTTCTTGTTTTGATTTTTGTTTTTGTATGTTTTAATCCCCTTTAACAAACAGCTAGTGGAATCTCAGTTCTTTGGCCACTCCAATATTCCTGCCTAGAGAATTCCATGGACAGAGGAGCCTGGCTGGCTATAGTCCATGGGGTTGCAAAGAAAGCTTCAGTTTTTCTGTACATTTAACTGATAACTGTATTATTTTAAAGTTGACCTAAATGGCTGTTCATTATTTAGGAAAAATTCATGAGTAAATTCTTTCAGGGTTAATATTTTCTATTTAGTAATGTTGATTTTTCATTAGGAAGAACATTTTCTTCTTCCTAGTACATTTTTATTTTTAGATTCTTACCTTATGATGGTATAGACTTTTGAGGAGTTTAATTGCCTAAGAATATGGGAGACCTGGTTTCGATCCCTGGGTTGAGAAGATCCCCCGGAGAAAGGAAAGGCTACCCACTCCAATATTCTGCCCTGGAGAATTCCATGGACTGTATAGTCTATGGGGTTGCCAAGAGTCAGATGCAGCTGAGCAGCTTCCACAATCACAATCACACAGTGAGTCGTATGAATGTTGATAGGCAAAATCTTGAATTTTAATGTATTACTCTATAGTTTGAAAGGTATTACTGAAATGAACCTTAAATGACAGAGAAGTCTTATATTAGACTTCTTTGTATCTTTATTTGGAGAGTCTTAATATCTATTATGTATTAGGATCTGTCTGTCCTGTTTGGATATATTAGTGCAAGCTGTTTAGAAAATTTTAATCTTTAGGAATAAGGGGCCAAGGACATCTGTATTCTTTATGGCATTTCATCTATAATTGAAGCAAATTACATTTTTCTGAAAAGCTAAAAACAACTTAAATATTAAACAGTGAATGGTATTCAAATATACTAGCAGAAAGCAGTTGAAAATATGAGTTATTAACTCTTTCAGTGAAATATGAAATACCTAGCAGTCAGCTTGAAGCCACATATGTGGTCTTCCTGGTGGCTCAGACAGTATATAAACTATCTGCAATGTCGGTTTGATCCCTGGGTCAGGACGAATATCCACTGGAGAAGGAAATGGCAACCCACTCCAGTATCCTTGCCTGAAGAATTCCACAGACAGAGAAAACTGGTGGTCTGCAGTCCATGCGGCCACAGAGAGTCAGACACAACTGAGTGAGTAACACACACACAGAGCAATCAGCTTAACAGGAAATGTATTTAGTTTGTTGTAAGAAAGCTGTGATGGTATAGAGGAATACTTAAGTACAGAGCAGTTTCTGTTGCAGAACAGAAAGATAAAGTAGAGATCATTGTTTTTTCCAGATAAATCTGTAAATTTGGTATAGTGCCAATCACAGCACCAAAAAAGAGAATGTGTATTTGAATTCGGGGGAGGAGAGAGGAAAGGGGGAAGGAGGAGAGAGAAAAAGAGAATATGTGCATGTATTTTGAAGGGATATAGTTAGATTTAATGATTCACTTAGAGCTACATTTTCCAAAATTGCAAGCCACTAGCCACATGTTGGTATTTAAATTTATATTGATTAAAATTCAACGATATTTATGGTTTTTCTGCTGGCAATAGTCACATTACAAGCACTCAGTAGTCACTTGTGGTTAAGTAACTCCTATATTGGACAAAACAGATTATATTACACTTATATCATCACAGAGACTTCTTTTGGACAGTTTGATGTAGAAAAGTTAAAAACTCAAACAACCAAGTAAAAATTAAGAGCAATTTGGAGCGATTTCTCCACAGATAATAAAATATATTATAAAACAGCATTTAATTAAAAGTGTAGTTCTTGTCCCAAATCATATTGAAAAGTGAAAGTCTCTCAGTCGTGTCCGACTCTTTGCAACCCCATGGACTATACAGTCCATGGAATTCTCCAGGCCAGAATACTGGAGTGGGTAACGAACCATTCCCTTTTCCAGGGGATCTTCCCAATCCAAGGATCAAACCCAGGTCTCCCATGTAGCAGGTGGATTCTTTACCAGCTGAGCCACCAGGGAAGCCCCAAATTATATTAGATGAGTGGAATACAGCTCACCTTTGATTATGTTATATAATCTGATTTTTTCCTAGTCAAGTTGGTTATAGATAAGTTGTTCTTAGTTGTGACTTTATGAAATTTTTTCCACTAGTATTAAAGATTTTTTATAATTAGGAATTTACTACCTATTCTTAAGTGTCTTTAGAATTTTTGCCTTTTATCCAAATTATTTCAATAACTTCTTTTCCAATTTACTTTAATTTCTCTCCATTTGTGTTCCAAACTGCCATGGTTCTTTTTCTGGAAAACATTTAAACCTACCTGTTGCTCCAAAATTTCCAAGAATATTTTTCATTCATCAGGAAAACATTCGAGATGTTTCACAATCAGGCCCCAATTCACTTCTCCAGCTTTCACCTTCATCCTTAATACAGAATCCCATTTTGTTACTAGGACTAAATTCTAAACCTAGAAAGTACTAGCAATGACAGTTCTCATGAAGTATTCTAAATCTATGCTTTTCTATTTTTGAGGATGAAAAAAAACTCAAGTATTTTGTCAGTAGTATATTATTTTGTATAAAGATTGATTTAATTTTATTTTATTTCTCCTCTAATTTTATTTCTTGTTTCCCGCTCACCTTGTCCTATTGAGAGTGATAAACCCTTTAGCCAAACATATTTTTCCTGTTGAAAGCCACATTTTATAAAGATATTATGAAAAGAAAACTAATCACTGATTTTGTAGTTTTCCTGGAAACCATATTGCTTTTGAAAATACTACACCGTCAGTTTTTTGTTATTTTACACTAATGAAATGGTAATATGTGGTTTTGATAATGTATTCTTGGCATTTAGAAGCCCAGTTTGAATGTGTTTAATGATGTTATTAAATTGTCTACTGAATTGAACCTGAATTAGGGGTTGCTTTCTTATAGTATGGTAAAGAAAACAAAGTGGCTTACATAGATTTCATTCTTCTGTTGTTTCCTTATTCTATTGCTGTATAACAAGCCACTGTGAAACATAGTGGCTAAAAAAATCATTATTTCTCATGATTTTCTGGATTAATTGGATAGTTCTGCTTTACATGATCTTGGCTGGGACATGGGAAAAGACTGGAAGACCCAAAACAGCCTCATCCACCATGGCTGACAGTCAATGCCAATTGCTGGGTAGAAGTGCAGCTGGGGCTTTTGGCTAAAGGTCTTTGATGCTCCTTCATTTGAGTCACCTTGTAGGGTCTTTGAGCTCCCTCACATTACAGCTTCTGAATTCTAAGAAAGTGTATTTTTAAAACAAGGCGGACACTACGAGGCATCACATGACCTAGCTTCCAAAACCGCAGAGCATTATTTGTGCCACACTCTTTTTAGCAGAAGCCATCTAGAACCTGCCTAGATCCAAGGGAAAGGGAAATAGACAACATCTCTTGATGGTAGGGTGGTTTAATCATATTGCAGAAGAGCCCTTAGGATGGAAGATGGGAGGCATCTAGAGATTCAGTTTATCACAATCTATATTTGACTTAAGAGATTACTTTGCTCAGTTTCATATCACCAGAAAGATTATAGAGGTGAGAACTTGAAGGATATGTAAAGGACAGAGCAAATCGTTTAAGTTTAATGGTATATAAGGCTCATGAAGAGGGGAGATACATGTTAGGAATGAAGTTGAGCCATGATTTGGGTCATTTCATACAGAGCCTTGTATGAGAGTTTCAGAGAAGTTTGGACGAAGTATGTTATACATGGGTTCCATAAAGATCCATCTGTGTAAAACACATTAGAATGATTTGAGCAGTGAAGAATAGTAATCTAAGAGATGGCTAGATTACATTTGCTGTAGAGATTAACAACAGAAGAGATTAACCAGAAGAGATTAACAACAACTTGAACCAAAGTAATAGAAATGAAAATGAAGAGGTGATGGTTTTCTCAAAAAACTGAAGTATTTAAGTCAGTAAGAATTGGTAGCTAATTAGATGTGTGAATTAAAGCAAAGAAGAGGGTCAAGAGTTCAATAAGTATTAAAAGCTGAGTGTACCCTTCTGTGTTTGTGACAATCTGTGGCTCTGTGACAATCTGGAAGGGTGGGATGGGGATGGAGGTGGGAGGGAGGTTCAGGAGAGAGGGAACATGGGTCTACCTATGGCTGATTCTTGTTGATGCATGACAAAAAAACTCAAAATTCTGTAAAGCAGTTATCCTTCAATTTTTTTTTTTTAAAAAGTGGGAAAAAAAGAAATTATACAAAAATTGTCTTGTCATTTTAAATTTTAAACTCTAAATTTCTGTGCTACTTTTTTCCCTAGGTTAATGGCACTGATGCAGATTATGAATATGAAGAAATCACACTTGAAAGGGTAAGAGCCTATTCATTAAGTTTTTATGAAAAGAAATCTGTTTCTTTAAAGAACTCTTTAAATATACTGCCCTTTCATATAGAATCTAAGGAAGATCATCTTTCAAAAGCAGAACCATGTAATAATATTAGTTTCTTTAATAAGTCCATATATCATAAAATTAGCTGTGGTATTTTCAGAACATGTTGCTTTTCTTTAAGAACTTTTTTAAAAAATAAACTTTTATTTAAAATTTTTAGATTTGTAGAAAAGTAGTACAGAGAGTTTCCATTTACCCTAGACTCAGTTTCACCTAATTATTAACATCTTATATTACTAAAATACATTTGTTTCAACCAGTGAAGTAACACTGATACATTATTATCAACTAAAGTTTATACTTTATTTGAGTTTCCTTACTTTTTGTTTTTCTCCTCCAGAATCCTATCTGGAATACCATATTACATTTAGTTATTATGTCTCCTTGTGCTCCTCTAGATTGACAATATCTCAGATTTTCTCAGTTTTTAATTTTATTATTTAGTTTTCATATAATGAAGTATTATTTATTTTAAATGAGTATTTTGTCTCTTGAGCTAGTAACTTGATCATTGTATCAGTTTTGTTTCCTAGCAAAATAATAACCATAGATTTACTGGAAAAGACCTTACTGAAAACTACTTACTATGCATTCCCCTAGTCAAAAAATAACTTACGGGCAATTCAGTTGTAGGGAGATAAAGGAAATGTGGTTTCAATCCCTGGGTTGGGAAGATCCCCTGGAGAAGGGAATGGCAGCCCACTCCAGTATTCTTGCCTGGAGAATCCCATGGACGGAGTAGTGTGGTGGGCTACAGTCCATGGGGTCAAAAAGAGACACGACTAAGCTCATGCACACACACTCACAATTCAGATGTGTGAATTTTCTTGATATATCTTCCCCTTTAGAATATCTGCATTCAATTGATGCTATATTTTAGCAGTGCCACCTTGTTTGACCATCATTTTTTGGAAAATGAGGTGCTATACATAAGTGACTTTTTTAAGTAACTGAATGTCTGTATATTTAAAGTTCCTAAAGGATTAGATTTATGTTTGTAGCCAGATAAGCTGAGTGAGAATAGACCTCAGAGGATCTTTTACATGTGTAATAGATTTTTACTGCCTGTTTGCCTGAATTGGGGCCATCTGTCCAAGTGGGGTAGCTGACTGGGTCTTACAGGTAAACAATATTAATGTATTTGCACATTTTAATGTGTCATTTTGTTGGGTTTTTCCCCAGCTTTATTGAGATTTCTTGACATAATCCTAACTTTTTACCTCATTCATGTTTTCATTTTTTCCTAGTACCTTTTAAATTCTTTTAGTCAGAACTGTACATGTATTTTTCACTGATTAAAGGACTTGAGTACCAGGAATTAGGGAGATACTGTTAAAGTGTACAGACTTGCAACTAGATGATAATAAGTTCCAGACTTCTTATATGCACAGCATAGTGAATATAGTCAACAATACTGTATTATATACTTCAGAATTTGAAGAGACTAGTTCTTAAATGTTCTCACCATAAAAAATAATGGCAATTATGTGACCTCATAGAGGTGTTAGCTAAATAAAGCTAGTATATAAAGTGGTAATCTAAATAAAGTAAGCTAAATAAAGTGGTAATCATATTGTTCTATATAAATGTATCAAATCAACATGTTGTACACCTTAAACCTACACAAAATTATTTGTAATTATAGCTTGGTTTTTTAAAGCAAATAAAAAAGAATAGCTGAGTATCTTGGTGTCACCATACAACCTATTGATACTGCTACTTTAGTAACTCTTAAAGAGCTAAGACTGGAAAAAATTTTTTATTAAAATAGAATTTTAGGACTATCATAGTTGAGTGAAATTTTAAGGTATTTTATACAGTTTAGTAATATATCCAGATATACCCACTTATTTGAGCTCACTGAAAACCAAAGTTAAATCATTCTTGAAAAAATAAATGTCTAATACCTTTGAGATCAGTTTTTCTTTTTGTACCCATAGAGAACCCGTCCTTCAAAGAAAATATTATTCAAAAATCAATACATAAAATGAGCAAGAAACAGTGCTGCTTTGGTAAAATTAACTTTGCTGTCAAGAAGCTTACCAATGTTAAATTCTCCAGTTAGACTTTCAGTATTAAAAAAATGCCTTTTGCTAGTCAGGTAGGTTTCTTGGTTAAACACCTCAAGGATGATGGCAGTGTTACTTAGCTGATACAATTTGGTAATTTTAAAATAAGATGATGGCAAAGTTAGCAGAAGCAAAGCCCCACCAAGTATCCCCTTCTTAAAAGGCTGAAATAGTATATCAATATTACCTATGTGGAAGTAACAGCAGCACAAGGATCACTTAAGTGTTTTCCTCTTGGGATCAATTTGCCTTACCAAACATGAGCTAGATGCAGTCTAAAAGAAAGAGACCTAATAGTGACACCTCTACAAGGATGAACTATACATACTTTTAAAGAAAGAATTGTAGACCAAACTCTGAAAGTACTCAGTACATCTTCAGCCTCACCTATTCAGCAGTAATACCTCTGAATTCACAGAGAAAAGAATAGCTTTCCTTATATTTTTTAATTTAAAAATCATCATATTCCCTATATGTATATACATATATATGCCTTTATATGTGTGTTGCCTATGTTGGTACAGTTTCTAGGTCCTATAGTGACAGGAACCTATCAATGATTTTTTTTCAATGTCAATTTTTCCCCCTCTATTCCCAGGGAAATTCAGGGCTTGGTTTCAGCATTGCAGGAGGTACAGACAACCCACACATTGGAGATGACTCAAGTATTTTCATTACTAAAATTATTGCAGGGGGAGCAGCTGCCCAAGATGGAAGATTGCGGTATGTTTTGTACTTGATGTTGTGATACCAAATCCTCTTTGTATCTTTTTCTTGAGAGAAAATAAACAGTGAATAAATACAAATAAGAAACATTATCATAATAACTAACATAAGGTAGATGCTCAAATATCAAATGAGTGAATGAGATAATTGTGCTTTAAGCATTGTTTCCCTCTTTTTGTTTAGGAATTCAATGTTATCTTAGAAATTAAACATTTTGAATAATACATTTGATTAATGATTTTAATATTTCTGAGCAAATGTGTAGAAATTGTAGATTTCCCATTGTATTTTCTGGGTGGGGAATATGTATAAACTTACTTAAGGAAATCATATATTGATATATCCTGAGTTTTTATCTCATACCTGGTGGCTCAGGTGGTAAAGAATTTGCCTGCAGTGCAGGAGACCCAGGTGTGATCCCTGGGTTGGGAAGATTCCCTAAAGAAGGGAATGGATATGCACTCCAATATTCTTGTCTGGAGAATCCCTTGGACAGACGAGCCTGGGGGGCTATAGTCCATGGGGTCACAAAGAGTTGGACAAGACTGAGCGAATCACACACAGACCCATGCACCACAAAGAGAAAAGATTAATGCAGACTTTAAATAAATTAACCTATTTTATAAATTGAATAAATGTAAGTAACTGGTCTTTTGTTTAATGTTCCATTGCAGAAGATATCCTTAGTATCTTGTTAAACAAAGATCTTTGGCATCTTTGTTGTTTCTTTAGACGCCATCTTAGATCATAGATTGTGGCACTTTTCCTGTTGCCTTGTTTGTTGTTTTTTACACATGGTGACAGTTTTCTAAAAGTTTTAGAACTAAAGATTTTATATGGTCTGTGAGAAACAGTATTTTATTTTACGGCTATTGGTGCCTTATGCAGCTCTTCAGTTTCTAAACTTCTCACTGGATATGACAAGTGGTATATTAATGAAGTTAGATATAAAATTAATAATTTGAACATTCATATAAATGTAGGCATTTACTTCCTGATTTTGTTATTTGGCTTTTATTTGTACTTCTTGTATGAAAATTAATATGTTCCATTTGTTTCACTGGAGAACTGACCTGTAGTACTAAATGTAAGGTATCACTATCTTTGGATATAGAATTTCTTTTCTCTAAACTTAATTTGATATATTACAGAAGTTTAGCATGACCGCTTGAAATGTTTTAATTGTATTTTGTTCCCCTTCCCTGCCCAATTTGAGATGACCATCTTTTTGTTTTCTACATGAATACCATCCAGTTGAAACTAAGGTCAACTTATTTATTTATTTGGAGTATAATTGCTTCACAATGTTGTGTTAGTTTCTGCTGAATAACAAAGTAAATCAGCTATATGTGTACATATATCCCCGCCCTCCTTGGGCCTCCATCCCGCCACTCTAGGTCATCACATAGTACCGAGCTGAGCTCCCTGCGCTAAGCAGCTGCTTCCCATTAGCTACCTGTTTTACATATGGTAGTGTGTTTATGTCAGTGCTACTCTCAGTTCATCTCACCCTCTCCTATCAGCTGAGTGGTTCACAAATCTGTTCTCCATGTCTGCATCTGTATTCCTGCCCTGTAAGTAGGTTCATCAGTACCATTTTTCTAGATTTCATATATGTGTGTGTGTGTTAATATATGATATTTGTTCTTCTCTTTCTGACTTACTTCAGTATGACAGACTCTAGGTTCACCCACATCACTACAAATGACCCAAGTTCATTCCTTTTGATGGTGGAGTAATATTCCATTGTATATATGTACCACATCTTCTTTATCCATTCATCTGTTGCTGGACATTTCAGTTGCTTCCATGTTCTGGCTGTTGTATAGTGCTGCAGTGAACATTGGAGTACATGTATATTTTTATTATAGTTTTCTCAGGGTATATGCCCAGTAGTGGAATTGCTGGGTATCATGGCAGTTCTACTTTTTAGTTTTTTAAGGAACCTCCATACTGTTCTCCATCATGACTGTATCAATTTACAGTCCCACCAACAGAACAAGAGAGATCCCTTTCTCTCCAAAATTTATAGTTTGTAGATCTTTTGATGATAATCACTTTGACTGGTATGAGATGATACCTTGTTGTGGTTTTGATTTGCATTTATCTAATAATTAGTGAAGTTGAGCAACTTTTTATGTGTTTGTTAGCTATCTATATATATTTTCTTTGTAGAAATGTCTGTTCAGGTCTTCCACCCATTTTTTTTATTGGATAGTTTGAGGGTTTTTTGGTATTGAGCATGAGCTCCTTGTGTATTTTGGAGATTAATCCATTTTCAGTTGTTTTATTTGCAAGTATTTTCTCCCATTCTGAGGGTTGGCTTTTTCTCTTGTTTATTGTTTTCTTTGCTGTGCAAAAGCTTTTAAGTTTAATTAGGTCTCATCTGTTTATTTTTATTCCTGTTACTCTAGGAAGTAGATCAAAGAGCATCTTGCTGCGATTTATGTCAAAGAATGTTCTGCCTATGTTTTCCACCAAGAGTTTTATAGTGTCTGACCTTACATTTAGGTCTTTAATCCATTTTGAGTTTATTTTTGTCCATGATGTTAGGAAATGTTCTAGTTTCATGCTTTTACATATAGTTGTCCAGTTTTCCCAGCATAACTTATTAAAGAGACTGTCTTTTATCCACTGTATATTCTTGTCTCTTTTGTCAAAGATAAGGTGTACCCATAGGTGCATGGATTTATCTCTGGGCTTTCTATCTTGTTCCATTGATCTGTATTTCTGTTTTTGTGCCAGTACCATACTATCTTGATTACTGTAGCTTTGTAGTATAGTATAAAGTCAGGGAGCCTGATACCTCCAACTCCATTTTTCTTTCTCAAGATTGCTTTGGCTATTTGGAGTCTTTTTTAAATTAACTTACTTTTGGCTTTGCTAGATTTTCATTGCTGGGTTTCTCTAGTTTTGGTGAGTGGAGTCTACTTTTCTTTGCAGTGAGTGGGAGCTACACTTCTCATTTCAGTGGCTTCTCTTGTTGAAGAGCACCAGCTCTAGAGTACATTGGCTTCATCATCTATGGCGCATAGGCTTAGTTGCTCTGTGGCACAAGGAATCTTTCCTGACCAGGGATCGAACCTGTGTCTCCTGCCTTGGCAGATTCCTAACCACTGGACCACCAGGGAAGTCCTTTTCAGAGTCTTTTGTGTCTCCATATAAATTGTTAACAAAGTTTTTCTAGTGAGTTGGCCAAAAGGTTTGTTTGGGTTTTCTCATACAGTCTTGGGGAAAAATCAGAAAAAACTTTTTGGTCAACTCAAAATTTCTGTGAAAAATACCATTGGTAATTTGATAGGAATTTTGTTGAATCTGTAGATTGTTTTCGGTTAGTGTAGTTATTTTCACAGTGTTGATTCTTCTAATCCAAGAATGTGGTATATCTCTCCATCTTTGTGTCATCTTTTTCGTTAGCATCTTATAGTTTTCTGCATACAGGTCTTTTGCCTCCTTGGGCAGATTTATGTCTAGGTATTTTGTTCTTTTTGTTGCAGTTGTAAATGGGATTGTTTCCTTAATTTCTCTTTCTGATTTTTCATTGTTAGTGCATAGAAATGCAAGAAATTTCTGTGTATTAATTTTGTATCTGCAACTTTACTAAACTCGTTGATTAGCTCTAATCATTTTCTGGTGGCTCTATGTATAGTATCATGTCATCTGCAAACAGTGACAATTTTATTTCTTCTTTTCCAATTTGGATTCCTTTTATTTCTTTTTCTTCTCTGATTGCCATGACTAGGACTTCCAAAACTTTGTTGAATAATAGTGGCAAGAGTGGGCACCCTTGTTCCTGATCTTAGAGGAAATGCTTTCAGTGTTTCACCATTGAGAATAATGTTTGCTGTGGGTTTGTCATATATAGCCTCTATTATGTTGAGGTAGGTTTCCTGTGTGCCCACTTTCTGGAGAATTTTTATCATATATACATGTTGAATTTTGTCAAAAGCTTTTTCTGCATCTATTGAGATTATCATATGGTTTTTAATCCTTTCATTTGTTAATATGGTATAGCACATTGATTGATTTGCATATATTGAAGAATCGCTGCATCTCTGGGGTAAACCCCACTTGGAGATCAGTTTATTTTTTAATAAATCAATGAGTTAATCTAATTTACTACTGTGATGTTAAGCTAGTTATTTGGTCTAAGTCTTAGATTTCTTATCTTTAAATCACTGTTCTATTGGTCATTATCTGGGTGGCTTTGGGAAAGTTATTTAAACTTTGTGCCTCAGTTTTTCCATCTGTAAAATAGGGATATAGATAGATCTACCTTACAGGTTGTTGTAAGGGTTAAAACACTAAAAGAAGTTTGTAGCTTATGATTGGTACTAAATAAGTATTTTCTGTTTTTCTAAAGTATTTTAATTTTTGTACATAGCTGTCATTAGCATCTAATATTTTTGTAAAATAATCTATTATTTGCACTATTTCCTTTGATGGCCCTTGAGAAATGTTTGTATTTATATAAGTATTTGATATATTGGAATTTAACATGAAGTTTCTTCTCATAAAAAATTGTAGTAAATAGTTATCCTTAAAAATATGAAAATAAAAATTGGCAAAGTGAAAAATTGATATTAAATTGTTAATATTTAATTTTTATTTTAAATTTTTCTTCAGAGTCAATGACTGTATTTTGCGAGTAAATGAAGTAGATGTTCGTGATGTAACACATAGCAAAGCAGTTGAAGCATTGAAAGAAGCAGGATCTATTGTACGCTTGTATGTTAAAAGACGGAAACCAGTGTCAGAAAAAATAATGGAAATAAAACTCATTAAAGGTCCTAAAGGTATGAACTAAATCAAACAAAAACAAATTATTAAGTAAGAAATCTCTAAGTGACATGTAACTCTTAAGTTATATATGACACACATTCTAAAATTAGCAATACTGGTAATCTGTAGAATTTACTGAATTTGGAGGGGTGGTGTTTCCCTGGTGATTCACATGGTAAAGAATCCACCTGCAATGTAGGAGACCAGGGTTTGATCTCTGAGTTGGGAAGATCCCCTGGAGAAGGGAACGGCTACCCACTCCAGTATTCCTGCCTAGAGAATTCCATGGACAGAGGAGCCTGGCGGGCTATAGGCTGGCGGGCAAAGAGTTAGATACGACTGAGCAACTTTCATTTTCACCTTAGTGAATTTTAGAATTTCTCTGTTATTTCTACTGAGTTTTAAGTAGCATTTGGCATAAACATTTTGAAGTCATGTATAGTATTGATATTAACTTGTAGTCATTAATCTGCAAAGTATATTAAATACAGATACACAGGATAAAAGAAGAAAATATTAATGAGCATATCATTAGTAGTTATATCTGCAGTGAAGACTATTAGGATGTGATCTGAATTTTGAAGACATGGATGGGATTGAGGATAAATGGAAATACTGATTCTAAGTCATGGCTTCATGAAAAATGAATAGAGAGCTACAAGTTTGGGATTTATGAATTACTGAAATTCCTTACTTAAAATTAATTCATAGAATATTGAAAAAGAACAAAAATATCTGCATTTCTGAAGCTGTTAGTTCTGCCCACCATCAATTTTTTTTTTTCCTCTCAGTTGTTTTAATCTTGTGGAAGTATTAAAAGTGTTAGTAAGAAGTGCAATTATGATGGAAACAAAAGTGAAACAATTTTACATGAATTCTTTGAACTAACACAAATGCATGAGACACTCTAAGAAGTACCTGGGAGGGAATGGGAAGGTATTTACTTGTAACTGTAGGAGCACTTAAATTTGTAACTGTCCCTGATTACAAAATACTTAGGATTTTTAAAATAGGTAAATAGATTCTTTTCTATTTTAAAAAGCATTAATTTGGTGAAATTATCACCTTTTAGAATCTGTTTTCTACTTTTCAGTCATTTCTTTCTGAACTTAGGTTTACATTTATGGGTAAAATTCTAAAACTAGTGTTTTCCAAACAGGTCTTGGGTTTAGCATTGCTGGAGGTGTTGGAAATCAGCATATTCCTGGGGATAATAGCATCTATGTAACCAAAATAATTGAAGGAGGAGCAGCTCATAAAGATGGTAAACTTCAGATTGGAGATAAACTTTTAGCAGTAAGTATAAACAATCCATTGTTTTAAAAATCACTTTGATGTCTTTTTTTTTTTTTTCTGAAAGGCTCTGGAAATTCTACATGCCAAAAATGCTTAAATGACATTTACACGAGTGAATACTAGCCTTTCTTTAGTCAGGACCTTAAAAATGACTCTTCATTATCTGTTTGCTATTTCCATTTCCTCTGCTAGGTCCCTTCTCTTTTTCTTTTATCCATTTAAGAGCTTAGATGCACAAAATTATTTAATCATAATCCTTAGGTTTGTAACAATATCATCCTTTGTTGTGTGTGACCTTCTTTTTCCCTTTCTTGTTCTAATCTATATAGTGAAAACTGCTAGTTATTATCCAACCCAAGAATTAGAATATCAACAGTTTGTGTTTCTCATTCCTTTGCTTTTTAAAGATTGCTTAATCACATACATATGCCTAAGTGTTTTGTTTAGTATTGTTTTGAGAAAAAAATTTAAAGGCTGTTTTGCAGTATGTAGTCTTTTAATACTTTTTCCCTCAATATTGTTTTACTGAGACTTATCCATATTGCTGCCTAGAGCTGAGATTTAGTCATTTCCCCTCTTCATAATATTCTGTTCTGAAACTATAGACTATATCACAATTTATTTATCCAATCTTCATTAATAACTGTCTTGAATCATATTCCCTACAAAAACAAACCTGAAGCTACTGTGCTAAGGTATTGTTTGGAAGTAGAACTTGAGAGAGGCTGGAGTGAGTGGAAATGAAAAGGGAGGCAGAGAATGAGGGAAAGCCAATACAAGGTATTATGTTTCTGAGCTGGCTATAATTTCATAAGAAAATATAGCTGGTTGCTTATCATGTAGGACAGTCTTCCAGGCAGGCAGTGTGGAACTGCTAAACCTTGGATCCAGCTATCCACGCAAAAGGAAGGATTGATCTCCTGGCCCCTCTTAGTCTCCTGTCTCTTGTTATGTAGAGTCTACCCCACAGGGGTTAACTGTCCTAAATTTCTTGGCTGTGTTACCCAGCCCCTCTGGATGAATGCTAGGAAGGCCAGCTCCCACACTGTGGCACTGCACTTCCCCTGAACCCAAAAGTGTTGAAAGAGCTAGAGCCTCGGTGGTCTAGACACATCAGATGTGGTCTTCTGATATGTTATTGCTCTCATTATGTGAGCCACGCCCAAGCCCAGCCTTTACTACAGAAGAGATTGAAATAGTTCGTAATGGTACAAGACAAGATAAGAATAGCAATAGCCAGGGCTCTCTTGTAAGCAAGCAGCCAAGGCCTAGTGGGCAAGTAGGCTCAAGTGAATCTGAAAAGGCATACAAAGTCTGATATAGTGGTGATTTGGGTTCATTCCTATTATTTATTTATTTGCCCTTTTGAATACCTCTGCTAAGAATAGCTGCTAGTTATTTCTGCTAGTTAATGATAGTGAAGAGGAAGAAACTGTCCTCCAAATGCTTTTCTCTAACTTATCCTCTCACGGCTATGACTTGTCATTTTTCCCCAAGCTACAACCAGCACTCCCTCATCTTCACATATACCCACATACACCACGTACACATACACCAATTCCAGACAAACCTTTCTCCACTAGGTTTCTCATTCTTTAATTTCTTATGTCCTCTTTTATGGTTTCTCCAGAATCAATTTTAAGAGTAGGGAACAAGAAATTATACTGAATTTGCCATTTAATGAGGCTTTTGTTGCCATAACTCCACTGAAATTATTCAGTTTTATTTCTCACTTTAACTGATAAATCATGCATTTGACACACCTTTTGCCTTCTTAGAACGCTCTTTCCAGGTTCCATACTACTTACCCTCTATCTTGCTATTCCTCTTAACTCACTGGCCATTCCTTCTCATTCTCCTTTCTGATGCATCTTTTCCCTAACCTCTAAACATTGCACATTTGCTTTTCTCTTTGATAGGTAGTCAAATAGCTTACTAAGTCTCATTGTACGTGATAGTAATAAGTATTGTTTTCTGAACTTCAGTCTCCTTATGTATATATCTCAAGAGTCATCTCAAATATACAGTTGGCCTTCCGTGTCCATGGGTTCCACATCTGTGGATTTAACCAACTGAGGATCAAAAATACTTGCAGGGGAAGAATTCCAAAAAGTTCTCAAAAGCCTAAACTTACTGGCTGCAGGCTAACAGCTATTCACATGGTGTTTACATTGTATTAGGTATGATAAGTAGTCTGGAGATGATTTAAGTAAGAGAGGGTGTGTTGTTCACTCACTAAGTCATGTCTGACACTTAGCAACCCCATGGACTGCAGCATGCCAGGCTTCCCTGTCCTTTACTGTCTCTTGGAGTTTGCTCAAATGCATGTCCATTGAGTTGGTGATGCTGTCCAACCATTTCATCCTCTGACGTCCCCTTCTTCACCTGCCTTCAATCTTTCCCAGCGTCAGGGTCTTTTCTAACGAGTCAGTTCTTCGCATCAGGTGGCCAGAGGATTGGAGTTTCAGCTTCAGCATCAGTCCTTCCAATGAAAGTTCAGGACTGATTTCCTTTAGGATTGACTGATTGAATCTCTTTGCTATCCAAGGGACTCTCAAGAGTCTTCTCTAGCACCACAATTCAGAAGCATCAATTCTTTGACACTCAGCCTTCTTTAAGGTCCAGCTCTCACATCCATACATGACTACTGGAAAAACCTTATCTGACTATATGGACCTTTGTCAGTAAGGTGATGTCTACTTTTTAATATGCTGTCTAGTATTGCCATAACTTTTCTTCCAAGGAGCAAAGTGTCTTTTAATTTCATGGCTGCAGTCACCATCTGCAGTGATTTTGGAGCCCAAGAAAATAAAATCTGTCACTGTTTCCACTTTTTCCCCATCCATTTGCCATGAAGTGATGGGACCAGATGCCATGATCTTAGTTTTTTGAATGTTAAGTTTTAAGCTTGCTTTCTACTGTCTCCTTTCACGCTCATGAAGAGGCTGTTTAGTTCCTCTTTGCTTTCTGCCACTAGAGTAGTATCATCAGCATATCTGAGGGTATTGATATTTCTCCCAGCAATCTTGATTCCAGTTTGTGGTTGATCCAGCCCAGCATTTCACATGATGTACTCTGTATAGAAGTTAAATAAGCAGAGTGACAGTATACAGCCTTGACGTACTCCTTTCCCAATTTAGAACCAGTCCATTGTTCCATGTCCAGTTCCAGCTCTTTCCTTGATCTGCATACAGGTTTCTGAGGAGACAGTAAAGTGGTCTAGTATCCCCATATCTTTTAAGAATTTCCCACAGTTTGTTGTGATCCACACACAGCTTTAGCATGGTGAATTTTCTGGAATTCTCTTGCTTTCTCCATGATCCAGCAAATTTTGGCAGTTTGATCTTTGGTTCCTCTGCCTTTTCTAAATCCAGCTTGTACATCTGGAAGTTCTCGGTTCACGTACTGCTGAAGCCTAACTTGAAGGATTTTGAGCATAACCTTGCTAGCATGTGAAATGAGCACAATAATACAGTAGTTTGAACATTCTTTGGAATTGCCCTTCTTTGGGATTAGAATGAAACTGACCTTTTCTAGTCCTTTGGCCACTGCTGCGTTTTCCAAATTTGCTGACATATTGAGTGCAGCACTTTAGGATCTTTTAGGAGCACCATCATTTAGGATTTTAAGTAACTTAGCTGTAATTCTATCACCTCCACTAGCTTTCTTCATAGTAGAAAGCTAGGCTTTCTGAGGCTTCCGAATGCCTATTTGACTTCACAATCCAGGATGTCTGGCTCTAGGTAAGTGGCCACACCACCGTGGTTATCTGGGTCATTAAGACCTTTTTTGTATACTTCTTCCATGTATTCTTGCCACCTCTTTTTAATCTGTTTTGCTTCTGTTAGGGCCTTACCGTTTCTGTCCTTTTTTGTGCCCATCCTTGTATGAAATTTTCCCTTGGTATCTCCAATATTCTTGAAGAGATCTCTAGTCTTTCCCGTTCTATTGTTTTCTCTATTTCTTTGCATTGTTCACTGAAGAAGACTTTCTTATCTTTTCTTGCTGTTCTCTGGACCTCTACATTCAGTTGGATATATCTTTCCTTTTCTCCGTTGCCTTTCATTTCTCTTCTTTTCTCAGCTATTTGTAAGGCCTCCTTAAGACAGCCATTTTGCCTTCTTGCATTTCTTTTTCTTTGGGATGATGTTGGTCACTGTCTCCTGTACAGTGTTATGAATCTCCATCCAAGGGACACTATGTGTATGCAAATACTATTCCATTTTACATAGGAGCTTGAGAATCTGCAGAAATTTTTTGATCCTTAAGAAGGGTAATTTGGGCACTGGGGTCATAGAATCATTCCCCCACAGATACCAAAGGACAACTGTATCTAAAAATAAACTTCCAAGTCACAACAACCCCCCCAACCCTGCCACCCCCAATTCTGTACTTTGCATAATTTTCACATCTAGTTAAATGGGAACTTTATCCTTCTAATTTGCCCAGGTCTGAAACTTTAGGATCATTCTCTTTCTTTCCCTCTCCACATTGAATCCCTTAGCAAATCATATCAACTCTTTATTCAGTTATCTAATGCTGCATAAGAAAACACTAAAATTAGTGACTAAAATGACAACAGTTACTTATTTACTTATACTTCTGCAATTTGGGTGGGTTTGGCCAGGACAGCATGTCTTGACTCCTTGTAATGTCTACTGGGGTGGCTAAACTAGGGCCAGGGGTCCACTTTCAAGCTGGCTCATATATAGTGGAAGAGTTAGTTTTGCCTGTCAGCTGGGAGCTCAAGTGAGCCTGTTAGCCAGGTATTTTAATTCTCCAGTGGCCTGACCACATGGCTAAGTTGGGCTTCTTAACGAGATGGCCAGGTTCCAAGAGAAACATACCACGAGTAAGCTTTCCAAGAAGATAGCTCTAATGGGTGGCATTTATTAATCCTCACTGTGCATTACAGTTACTAATGTCTCATTGCAGGCCATCAGATGAACAGTATACCACAGGTGAATATTTCAGAATGCAGACAGTCCTCACTATACACTGTAGGGTGGGACCATAAGAATGACCATGCAGCCTAAACCCTGTAAAGCTTTATTAGTAATCAATGGGAAAGTTAGGGTTGTTCTGTGACCTTTAGAAAATTTTTTTTTTAAGAAATTTTTGTCAAAACATTAAAAAAAAAAATCTTCTACAGTCGATTATAAAGTTACATATTAGAGAAATGGAAAATATACTAAAATGAACATGTGTTTACATTGTAATTTAAAACACTAGAAACATTCTGCTGTGTTTAGAATGGATAATCATCCAGGACTTTTGTATAGCACAGGGAACTCTGCTCACTGTTATGAGGCAGACTGGATGGGAAGGAAATTCGGAGGAGAATGAATACATGTACATGTATGATTGAGTCCCTTTGCTAGCTACCTGAAACTATCACAACATTGTTAATTGACTATACTCCAGTATAAAATAAACAGTTCAAAGGCAAACATACACACCCAAAAAAAGTTTACTGAAAAGAGGAACAGTCTAAACCTAATGCCAGCAGAAGAGAAAGGATTAGGGCAAAACTTAACAATATAGGGAATAGGACAGCCATGCTGCTGCTACTGCTGCTAAATCACTTCAGTTGTGTCTGACTCTGTGCAACCCCATAGACGGCAGCCCACCAGGCTCCCCCGTCCCTGGGATTCTCCAGGCAAGAACACTGGAATGGGTTGCTGTTTCCTTCTCCAATGCATGAAAGTGAAAAGTGAAAGTGAAGTCGCTCAGTCGTGTGCAACTCTTAGCGACCCCATGGACTGCAGCCTACCAGGCTCCTCTGTCCATGAGATTTTTCCAGACAAGAGTACTGGAGTGGGGTGCCATTACCTTCTCCGAGGACAACCATAGAGATCAACCAAACCAAAATTTGGGCCTTCAAAAAGATCAACAAAATTGACAAAGCTTTAGCTAGAATGACAAAAAAATAACTCAAATTTCTAAAAGTAGGAATGAAAGAGCATAAGGCAATACTTTTATTTATAAGCGACTCTATACCAACACATCAGGTAACTTAGATGAAATCTACAAATTCCTAGAAAGACACAACTACCACTCCTGTTCAATGGTATACTAAAGTTTCTACCCAGAAGAATAAAGAGGGAAAAAAAAAAATACGACATTCAGAGTGGGAAGGAAGAAGTAAAATTTTGGGGATTTTCTTTTAGGTGAATAGTGTGTGTTTAGAAGAAGTTACTCATGAAGAAGCAGTAACTGCCTTAAAGAACACATCTGATTTTGTTTATTTGAAAGTGGCAAAACCCACAAGTATGTATATGAATGATGGCTATGCACCACCTGATATCACCAACTGTAAGTCTGTTTGCTTATAATCTATCTTATTTCCTTAGATGTGATAAATTTTAATGAAAGTTCCCAATATAAAGTTTAAACATTATACAAATATTTAAAACAGAACTGTTAAACATTTTAGCCTAATAATTTTTAAAAATCAATTTTAAGTCAGAATCTTCATAATAATAAGGGGGGGTGAGTTTTTCACCTTTTTACCTGTAATTTCATAGCAATAATTATTTAAGGCATTGATTCTTAAACTTTTATGTAAATGATAGCCACCAAAGGTATTTGCTCATAATGGAGATTCTTGTTTTGTTCTAATAATTTTGAGATGGAACACAGAAATATACTTGAACAAGCAATTATTTTAACAAGCAAGGTAATTCTGATACTTCTAGTGCTGCTGGTTCATGGTCTGCCCTTTGAGAAATAATAACTTAAAATATTTCTAAGACTTGGGCTTTTCTATACTGTCAACTGTGTGAGCACAGATGCCATCTTTGTACTTCAAGCTCTTAGTGTATTATGTAACACAGTTGTGCATAATACAGTTATATTTCCTAGAATCATATTATAATGAAAGTACCTAGGTAATTTTAAGCTTCCTATGTGACTTTCTTTTTTTAATATACAAGCTGAGATGAAATGTAAATGTATTTTTAATGTGTTCATGTTGATTGAAAAATGAAAGTTTTATTTGGTATACTGAGTCAATACTAGAAGCACCCATATGTAATAAAGATCAATATAGTCTATAGTCTGCTTTTCCAAGTTTTCCTTTTCTAAATTGTAGAATTTTAGAGATATTTGTGGTTTTGTAATCATATTCAGTCTCTTTAATGAACAGAGATGATGTCTTATACTTCATTTTTGTCAGAACTTTACTACTTGCTGAAAATTCTTCCATATATTTGGCCTGCACAGGGCTTTATGTATATTTATTTATTAGGAGATGCAAATTCAATGATAAACTCTTTTATTCACCAATTTAAATTTTGATCTTATTTATTATGCTGCCTTATCTGTTCAAGACAGCTAAGTGCCAGTTAACAGATTGAGAATTGGCATCCTGATTATGGCCAAATATACAGAAAAAAGGCTGCTGCTTACAGTTGAACTAGAAAGAAAACATTACTTTTTATTGAATTATCTTTTATATAAAAGAATATGACATTTAAAAAATAGAGCTGGTCCTAAAGAGTAGTAGTAATTAAATAATGATTAATTGTTTTCCCTATAGTCATATGTAAGATATTTCTTGCCTTTTTCATCTGTTTTTAAACTAATAGAATATTGTGAAAAAGGTGAAGTTTACGTTGCTGGTTCAACTTTATCATAAAAGTGTTCTGTTTCCATTCTCCTCTCTCCATATGAATTTTGTTATACACTTCCAGACCATGTTCATACTATGCACATAATTCATAAATAACTTACTTATGTGTGTTTTAAGAAGCATTTATGTTTGAAAATTTTTTACATAAATGATTTTTACCTGTTGGCTCTCCTGAAGCCCTTGCCATCGGACAGTTCAACTTATTGCCTATTCCTTATGTTAGCCATCTAGTGTCCTCCCCATCAGTGTGGCTTTAGTTACTGAAGATATTAGTGGTGCTCTCATTGTCCTTTGATACTACTATTCACGTTGTCATCCTTAGTGATGACCAGTCAAAACCCACATTGATTCATTCAATAACCAGGCTTCTTTGTTTATTGATCTTTTTCTTTCTAACTCTCCTGCCCTCCACTCCAACTCAGATACTTGCTTCCAAGATAATAATTTAGATCTTATCATTGTCAGTACCTTCACCATGTCCAAAATCTTGATTTAAATCATCTCATTCTCTGACTACATCCATCAGTTTATTTACTCCTAACAGTTCATCTTCATTTTGATCTTCAGTCATTTGATGCCATTACTTGGTTGTTCCTTTGTGTCTCTACTTGTCTTCTTTGTTTAACTTAGCCTCCTTGGTTTGTCATTATACTCATTTCACTGCATATATCTTCTACTTTCTTGCCTTCTTCATCTTCACTGGCAGAATTCCAACCCTCGTTCAGCTTGTTGTCTTCATCCAGTCTTGCTCCCTAAGAAGCAGAACATGACTGGAGAAAAGCGCAGAATTATAATTTAGCTATGACCATAAATCTCAGATGGAGTCATGCTCTTAACAGTTGTAAGGCATCTATGGATAATAGCCAAAATATGGTACCCAGGAATTGAACCGGGGTCTCCTGCTTTGCAGGTGGATTATTTACCGACTGAGCTATCAGGGAAGCCACACACACACCCCCACCCCCCCCAGGAATAAAAGGAAGTTTATTACTGAATAAAAAAAGTTCATCAGTTTATCGAAAGTTTATCAGTTGGATCTGATAAAGCAGTGGTTCCCAACATATTTGGCACCAGGGACCGGTTTCATGGAAGACAATTTTTCGATGGGTGGGGCAGATGGAGGGAAGGTTCAGGCAGTAATGTGAGCAATGGAGAGTGGCCTCTGAAGCTTGCTCACCCACCACTCACCTCCTGCTATGCAGGTGAATTCCTAAAAGGCACTGTTAAGTGGCCTGGGGGTTGGGGACCTCTGATAAAGAACATAGTTTCTTTGATGACATTAAATTTCTCATGCCTTTGCATTATGTATCTTTTCACTTTTTTTTGTTGTTGTTGATGTAATTTTTTTTTCATTTATTTTTATTAGTTGTAGGCTAATTACTTCACAACATTTCAGTGGGTTTTGTCATACATTGACATGAGTCAGCCATGGAGTTACATGTATTCCCCATCCCGATCCCCCCTCCCACCTCCCTCTCCACCCAATTCCTCTGGGTCTTCCCAGTGCTAACAAACACATGAAAAGATGTTCAACAACACTCATTATCAGAGAAATGCAAATCAAAACCACAATGAGGTACCATTACACGCCAGTCAGGATGGCTGCTATCCAAAAGTCTACATACAATAAATGCTGGAGAGGGTGTGGAGAAAAGGGAACCCTCTTACACTGTTGGTGGGAATGCAAACTAGTACAGCCACTGTGGAAAACAGTGTGGAGATTTCTTAAAAAACTGGAAATAGAACTGCCATATGACCCAGCAATACCACTTCTGGGCATACACACTGAGGAAACCAGATCTGAAAGAGACACGTGCACCCCAATGTTCATCGCAGCACTGTTTATAATAGCCAGGACATGGAAGCAACCTAGATGCCCATCAGCAGACGAATGGATGAGGAAGCTGTGGTACATATACACCATGGAATCTTTTCACTTTTAATTTATATTCTCTTCAGATGAAGGATGTTAAACTTCTGATCGCCCACTGATCTCTTCCTACATTTACCTTAAGTTCTTCCACTTGGCTTCTCTCCTAAACTTTGGAGGGTTTGGGTCATTAACCTAGATATCTAAGGACAATATTCAGGCTCCCTTGTTTTGTAGTTCTCTGAGGAATCTTTATTACTTAGGATTTGGGGTGTAGGAAATGGCATTGTTTTATCTGATTATTCTTTAGACTGTCATTTCTCTGATAGAAACATTAATTTTTAGTTTGCGCCATATGAGATACTTACCTTACTTGTGAGAATGACTCCTTCAGAAAGGATCTATCAAATAAAGGCAAAGTCTGGGTATGGTAGGGAAAATGTACATTTTCTGGCTTGGGCAGTTGACTGAGTTTCTTGCCCAGTGGGTTTTTTGTTGTTGTTGTTCATTTGTTTCAGCCAAGCTTGTTAATGCAGCAAAGAAATTTGAGTCAGAAATCAGTAAACTCTGGACTTTAAAAGGCCAGTGATTATAATGGTTCACATGAATGTCAGTTGCTTTAGGCCATCTTGCCAGTTCCATTGAAAATCACAGATATTCTTACATATCACCCAGGAAAGACTTTGGTCTTCAGAAGAGCCACTGATAGAAAGTCCTTTGGCTCAAATGCAAAACAGCATCTTATATATGAATTGGACAGGAAACAACTGCTAATGGAGACTGCAAGCTTATAAAATCAAAGATGCAGCAGACTTTGAAACCATATACTATCAATAGATACCATAGTCTTTTTCTTTTTTGTATGATTACAGAAAGATACAGATGTATAGACGCTATCTCCTTTTGATAGAGCATACATTCTTTTCAGTACACCGTATTTATAGTCATTACCTGCTGTCTTTCACTCAGGCTGCTTCGCTCTTAATGTTACCTATCTGACCACTATAGTAATGTGAAGTAATGATCCTTGCATTTTTGGTTTCCCGATAGGTTTTAACAATGCTTTGTGCATAGAAGACAGTAATGTAATGAAAGGAGAGATTGGTGGTTAAGTGATAAATATTTCAGCTAGATTTTTGAAATGCCTTGTACCTTTATCATAGTTAGTATCTCAAGAAAGTTAAATATTGCTTTCTACATTTTTCAATAATCACATAATTCAAATGCATTGTGTTTTTGGAAGTTACAACTGAAATGTGTTGCTTACCTGGGTCAGAAATAACTTTATAATTTTCTGTTCTTAGCTCTTACTAGCATTACAACTGATGGACTGTACTGATGTTTATTATTATTGAAATCATTACCAGAGTTTTGCTTATTTTCTTTGTTTCTTTTACTAGGTTACCATTTTGGGGGGGTGCATTAAAAAGGATAATTATTAATTGGATTGACAGATCTGAGCTGATGTCAGGGCATGTCCTTTTTTTCCCTTTACATTTTAGAGCAGTTTTAGGTTCACAGGAAAATTAAGCAAAGATTGAGAAGTGTCCCACCTCCATAGCTTTTCATATTATTAACACCTCCCTCCAGAGTGGTACATTAGTTCCAACTGATGACCCTACATTGCCACATCATTACCCAAAGCCCATAGTATACTCCAGGCTTCCCTCTTGATGTTGTACATTCTGTAGAGTTGGATAAATGTATAACAACATGTACCAGCTATCAGTATCATACAGCATAGTTTCATTGCCCTAAAAATCCTGTACTCTGCCTATTCATCCCTCCCTCTCCTCTAACCTCTGGCATCCT